CATTTTTGTGGTTTTTTAATAAAAAATCAAAAAATAAATAAATAAAATTTAAATTATCTTGTCAATGGTTGTGGAAGTGAATGAAATTTATGGTATATTAATAAATATATCATGTTTTTATATAACTACATTAACTTTAATTTATATAACGATTTCTGGGATCTACATTGACCACCACCATCACCTTTACCAAAAAAATATTTGCCGCGAGTGTTTTTTAAAAGAAATCCATTTTTCAGCCACTGTTTGTGCGTCCCCATGTCACCCACTTTCCTTGTCCGTGCTGTGTGGACGCGGATGTGGTTCCCCCCGCTTGTGGGGGGGTCAGGAGGGTTCCGCGCCAAGGGAGGACTTGGAAAGTGGGTGAAACGGTGCACAAACAGACTGTTTGAGTGTGGCCTTATGAGCCTTCTTTTCAATGCTCCGTCTCACTCTTTTTACACCAACTCGAGGTGATTTTTCGGCATTTTTTGAATTCGGGAACCAGACCTTATATTTTCCAATTTTCCTATTTACTATAATTTTAATTTGAATATGATTCGAAATAGAAAAAATAAATCTATTTTAAGAAATGATGGTGGTGGTCAATGTAGGTCCCAACGATTTCTAAAAAATTAATTTCTTTTGAATGTTGTATTAAAAAAGTTTTCAATTCTAATTGATTTTTTATATACATAATTTGATTTAAATTAGCTCTTTATCCACATTATTAAAATATAACATAAGTGAATGATATATTAATATTAGAAAATATCGTATCTTTTGAATATTAAAGCAAGTTAACATTACATCAATAATAAAAACTATAACAATTTTTATAATCACAACATATTTTTATTAAAAATTGCTTGTCATTAAAAAATGGCAATCATGTTTTTAAAGTTAAACATATACATTATACCATTGATGTTTTTTTTCAAAACGAGATATTCTTTTTGTACTTCTTTTTTTTAAGGTGAAGAGGAAAATAACAGCTTATTTAAAAGAAAGAAGTACAAAAAGAATATGTTTGTAAAAACAGCTTTAATAACAACATAACAAGAATTAAATCAAAATAGTACAAAGACTTTATTGATTTAAATCGATTAAAATATTATAAATTTAATAATTATTATTAAATATAAATAATTTAATAATATCTTTATATTAAATATATTATTACATGATAATAAACTGTTTTTCAAAAGTTGGTACTGTCATATTTTTAGAACTTCCTAAAGTCCCGTTTTTTATTTTTGTTTTTTTTTAAAAAAACAAAAAACAAAAAATCGAAAGTACCGACTTTATTTTGAAAAAAATACCAATCCTGTTCAATTATTTTCGTACAAATTCGGGAAAATATCGAAATATTAGCCAGCCTTTTCTAATAAACCCGATCCCGTTATTTGATTTGACCACAACTCGATACTTCGCAACATATATTCAGTATTGTTGGCATAAAAGCACAACAATGAATATTTAAGTAAATTTGGATGGTGTTGTTCGTGTCGAGTTTTAACTGAATATTACTCTGTTTAAAATTTAATTGAAATTTAAAACAAACTGTGGTTTCCTATTCAGAATAAAAAATAATGAAATAAAGAGTTCCAAAAACACCAAAAAATAAATTACAGCAAATGTTTGATAATTTTGACAACCACAAGTCAAATTGTGAAAGGGCAACACAAGAAAAAACGATAAAACAATAGAACAATGATTTTTTGTAATTGGATATTTTAAAAATGATGTTTTCACTGAAATGCTCAAAGATAATGTCGACTTTATTAAACCCAACAAAGATAAGTTATCAAATCATTTTGTTATTTTTATTGTTTTTGTGACAACACTACTAAGCATACTAATCTTCGAACTAAGCTTTTGTTTTGTGAATATTTTATAAATTAATGAATTGTTTGATAATGAAAAAATTTGACATTAAATTTATTTGCTTTTGTACTATAATGCACTTTTGGGATAATTTGCGTGTTTTTCTGAAACAAAAATCCTGTTATTTCAAATTTTATATGGA